CTGATGGACTGTAGCCCACTAGTCTCCTTTGTCCATGGGCTTCTCCAGGCAAGAATACTGGAGTGGGTTGCATGCCCTCCTCCAGGGGATCTTCCTGACTCAGGGATCAAACCTGTGTCTCTTGTCTCCAGCACTGGCAGGCAGGTTCTTTATCAGTAGCACCACCTGGGAAGCCCAATATAAGAGATTATTGGTTTGGAAATGTGCAATAATAGTAATTTTTAAAAAATCTTAACACACTGGTAAAATGGCATGTCTGGGATTTGTTTTAAAATACTCTAGGGCAAAATTTAGAGGATGGGTGAAATGAGAATGATAGAGTGTTGATAATTTTAGAAGCTGAATAATGGCTATATGGGGCTTCCCTGGTGGCTCAGCTGGTAAAGAAGCCTCCTGCAATGCGGGAGACCTGAGTTTGATTCCTGGGTTGGGAAGATCCCCTGGAGAAGGGAGTGGCTACCCACTCCAGTATTCTGGCCTGGAGAATTCCATGGACAGAGGAACCTGGCAGGCTACAGTCTATAGAGTCTCAAAGAGTCAGACATGATTGAGTGACTTTCACAATGGCTGTATGAGGGTCCATTATAGTATTCTATTCTACCTTGTTTGGTTTGTTTAACAATGCTATAATACTGTTTCAAAAATACATCAAATATAGCAGAGGGACAAAAGTATTGATTAGCACAGAATTCCAGAGAGTTCATCTTCCAATAGAAGATTCTGAGCTGGGCCCTAGGGCAGTGAAAGGACACCTTTGCCAACAGCCTTCTGCATTTCATTCAGAGGAGAGAAGCCACGGGAACTACGCCCAGAAGATGCTTTGGATTCGACTTGATGGGATTTTTATAGAACATTCGCAGAGATGATGCACTTGCAGACTTTATCAATTATCTTTTGTTGTGTAACAAGCTATCCCCAAGCTTAGTGGTTGAAGATAAACATTGACGATTTCTCATGATTCTGTGGGGTGGCTAGGATTCTGGGCTGACTTGACTGGGGTCAGATGGGCTAGTTTAGGATGGTCTCAGTCAGATGCTTGGGGCCTCCTGTAGGAAGCTAGCCTGTAATTGTTCACAGGATGTGAAGCCCTCCCAGCAGCAAGAGAGGACGAGCCGGAAGCCCAGGCACACCCCACTGATCAGAGCAAGTCACATGGCCCAGCTCAGACCAAAGCAGGTAGAAACAGAGCCTCCCTTGCAGATGCGACTTGTAGTTACTGAACAGGGAATGGGAGCCAAGGGACCAGGCAGGGTCTGACTCAGCCCACATCTCTGGATGTCACTGACTACTCAGATGTGGCCAAGAGTGGACCCTGTGTAATTCATGCGCCCTGGTTCTAGAATCCTCACTTCACTGGTAGAACAGAGGTGGTGGGTGAAATGTTATTCAGAAATATAAACCCTGGGCTAACAGAAGAAAATCATTCCTGTTTGTGCTTTTGTTTATTTATTTATTTTTTTCTTTCCCTGTGGCTTAAACTCAGTCCTGTTTTTCTTCTTCCTCCTCCTTAAATTGAGCATGTGTGACTCACTGATCAGGACTGCTAGGTGCTATAATATCCCTCCCCACATTCTCAAAGGGCAAAGTGGCTTGATTCACAGGAGGAGGTGGGACTGGGTGTTAGTCTTGGGACAGCTCCCTCTGCCAGCCCTGTTTCTTCATATCTAGATGAGGGGGTTGCAAGGCATGTCTCTGAGGCCCTTGTGGCCCTGCCCTGCCTAGAGATGCGGCAGGTGGTCTGGTGCTCTGTGCCCTGGGTCTCAGGTCAGGCCTGGCCTCTTTGGGAAGAAGGATGCTCTGTGTTGGTGTAATAGACTTGTGGCAAAAGTGGCCCTAATTCTTCACACGCACCCGTATCCATACCTTTCTCTGCCTTTAAATTGAAGTACAATTGATTTACAATGTTGTGTTACCCTCAGGTACACAGCAGAGTGACTCAGTTATACATCTGGAGCAGGGACAGTCTGCCCGCTCCAGGATTCTGGCCTGGAGAATCCCATGGCGCAGAGTTGGACACGATTGAGCGACTTTCACTTTCTTTTTTAATTTTTATTTTTTCGACTTTCACTTTCACATGTTCATCTTGCTCCTTTGTCTGAGGCACTGCCTGCTGACTTCCCCCCAGTGAACGTGTGGCTCCCTGTCACTGCTTCCCTCCCTTCCCCACACATATGCAACCTCCCCAGGCCCTTTGTCCTTCCACGATCCATAAGTCTTGGTTCTGTTAAATTAGCATTCACTTTTGACTTGCTACTGTGACTTTGAAAATGCTATTTGCTATTGAACTATGTAAAATGATACTCCAACTTTGCTTTCTTGTCCAAGTTCTCTGCACGAGCTTCCATGGGACTCTTCTCAGCCCCTGAGTAGAGTGCGGCTGGGGAGGCAGCGGCGATTCTTAACTCCTCCCTGTCCCCTTCCTCAGCAGAGAGAGGCAGGCAGACAGACACCCCTGAGCTTTCCCAGGGTTCAGCAAGGCTACTCTTTTAGGTGACTTCCTCTGTGCCACCCTCCCCCTCCCAGAGAAGGGTCCGGCTTGTGTGTCATCAGGCAGCGCCCGCTTTGCACCTGCCTTGGTTTCCACACATCTCTCCCATTTCAGTGGGTGGCACCCAGGGCCAGGGCTCTGTGGTGTGGCCTGAATGTGACCCTGACCCCTTTTCTCACTTTCCCAGCTTCTCCATCCCAGTCTGGTGGCCCAGGGTACGTGGTAGAAGCCTTTCTGAGAGATTTCTGGGAGAGATCTTAGTGAGGAGCTGGCTGGGAGAGTTTTGGGGCGTGGATGGGGTGCAGAGGCAGATTCTGGCGTGCGTGTAGGAGGTCTGGATCCGTGGCTGTTCTGGTGGTGGGAGCAGGACAGGAGCAGGAAGCACTGTCCAGGCCCCGGTGCACAGGATGCAGGGCCGAGGTATCTGAAGGGCTGTGGGACCGCCAGGTTACAGGGCAGCCCTGGAGAAATGGAAGCTCCATCCGTACCAAAACCTGCCCACGGAGCCTCATCATGTTCTTAATCGTCAGAAATGGGAAACAAGCCAGCTGCCTTTCAGCTGGTGAGCAGAGGCTATGCAGTGGGGCACTGCTCGGCAAGGAGAGGGAACCAACGACCAAGACAGGCAGCATCCCGGCTAAGCCCCCGATGGCAGTCAGCTAAGGGAAGGGACACAGACCGCGCCCTGTGATTGCATTTATGAGGCGCTCTGGAAGCAAAACTGCTGGTCAATGAACAGGCGTAGTTCATCCCACCCTGGGGCCAGGGCGGGAGGAGTGGTTGACAGCAGGCTGGCAGGAGGGAACCTTCTGGGTGGATGGAGATGTTTTACATCTTGATTATTACAGTGGCTGCGTGGCTCTGTGCATTTGTCAAAATCCATAGAATTGTGTGCTAGAAAAAGGTGAAATTTGCTATGGGTAGTTTTTACCTCAGTAAACCTAAATAAAGCAAACACAATGACAACAAAAGGTTTCAGCCTGCTCAGTATTTGTGGTGATGCTGTGGCAGCAGGAAAGTTACCAGTGTGGGTCGCAGGAGGAGGTTCAGGGGTGCTCTCACACACGGGTTGAACGGACACCTGTGTTCTCTCATGAGGCCCTTCCTGTCCGCAGCGAAGCGCCACGGGTGAGTCGGCCCATCCAGCATTCTGTGGAGGAGCCGTGGATGTCACAATGGAGAAGACCCCCAGATCCCACATGCTCTCCCCTCATGCCAGCAGCCTGTGGCCTTTTCCCCAGTGGGGAGAAGGGAACAGGGTGGAACAGCTGAATCAGAGGCTGAATTTCAGAGCCGGCTCTGTCACTTGCCAACTCAGCATCTCAGAGCCTCAGTTTCCTCATCTGCAAAATGGATACAACAGCCCATACCTCACAGAGCCGGGTGAGGGATAAATGATGGTGACTGTATGAAAGCCCCAAGCCCCATGCCCAGCTGTAACTCACTAGCTGGCTGCGGTTGAATTCCTGTTGCTCTTCTTACAAGCTGTGTGGCTTTGGACAGGTGTCTTAACCTTTCTGGGCTTTGAGTTCCTCATTGATAAAATGAAGCTTTATGGTCCCATAAGGTTGTTGTGAGGATTTAATGATTATAAAGGCCTTAGCTGTGGGCCTACCATATAGTGAACACTCAGAAAAAGTCACAGCATTTTTATAATAGGGTTGCCAAATTTAGCAAATGAAGATACAGGATTCCCAGTTAATTTGGAATTTCAGACAAGCAGTGAATATTTTTGTAGTATAAGTATGTCCCATGCAATATTTTGGATATACTAAAAAAAGTATTCATGGCATGTGCTGTGTGCTGTGCTTTAGTCTTTCAGTTGTCTGACTCTTTGCCACCTGATGGGTTGTAGTCCGCCAGGCCCCTCTGTCCATGGGTCTTCTCCAGGCAAGGATACTAGAGTGGGTTGCCGTGCCCTCCTCCTGGGGATCTTCCCAACCCAGTAATCAAACTGGGGTCTCCTGCATTGCAGGTGGATTCTTTACCAGTTGAGCTAACAGGGAAGCCTCATTCATGACATAATTATACTAAAAAAAATTTGTATCATTTATCTGAAATTCAAATTTAACTGGGCACTCCATACTTGGGGAGACAGATTTGGAATGTGGGGATGGAACTAAGCCTGAAAGTGAGTAGAGGGGTGAATGATCTTTTTTTGTTTTTTGTTTTTTTTTAAATCTCCCTGCAGTCTAAATCATTCATCTAGTTTATCTATGATCTCCCCTCAGGAATCTCCCCGGGTTTAACCCACACAGCCCATTCATTCCTTGGTCCTGCTTTTGTTTTGGCCCCGGGCCGTCCGCCTGTATCCTTTGAACTCGCTCCTGGACTGAGGCTGCCCTGTGGATGCCCTGTCATCCTGCGTCTGAGCGGTGCGCCTCTGGCCTTCCCGTGGGCCCGGCCGGCCGCGGCTGCCGCCCGCGCGGTAGGCTCTGCGTGCCTGTGGCTGGGGGCTGAGTGGCAGCACCACTCTTACATAATCGGTTTCTCTCCTCCTTTCTTTTTCCAGAGCCAGATTTCACACTGAGCAGCTGCAGACGGAGAAATCAGAGAAAGCACAAGCCAGCCACAGATTCCAGGGCCTGCGGGAGACTCTCCTCCCGCTCAGAAGGAAGACACCGAGGCGACCGTCTCAGGCCAGGTCTTGCTGCCATGGGACCCACGGCTGCCGCCCATTGGCTGCCCTCCGCACTGCCGGGCAGATAAGGGGGAGCCCTGCCCGGAGCACCTGCCAGCACCCGGCCACTCCCCCGAGGCCAGCCCTCCTCACTCCGGGCTCCCTCTGCTGACCTGAGGCCATGTAGGCCCTCCTCGGACCTCTGTGAGCACACACACCTCTGGGGACTCACATCTGTTCTCTGCGAGACCCAGCGCACCACCATGCCCCAGGGACTCGCCTGGCTGCGCTGTGAGTACCCAGCAGGGCTGGGGGGTCCATGGGGACTGCCCGGGGAGGCCTTGGCCCGCAGCTGGACTCTGCTGTAACCACGGGAACCGGGCATTCTTCCTGGGGAGAAGTTGAGATGCTTCCCGGCTTAACGGCAGGCACCCTCAGGGACTCCCACGCCATCTGCCCCATCTCCAGCTCAGACAGGCATGGTGGCTGTGAGCCTTGGAGTGGGTGGGCACAGTCAGTGGGTCATGGGGACAGGGCAGGCACTCGGGGTGGGAGGCAGGGTCTCACCTGCCCAGACTCACTGGTGCTGGGGAGTACAGTGCAGAGATTCTGGTTCCCTGGGGGTGGCCAGGCCGGGGTGGGGCTTATGAAATTGTTTGGGCCCTGAGACACATGAGAGAAGTTCAGGCTGTCCCCTCTGCCTCTCCCTCCATGCAAAGCTAAATCAAAAGGCAGGAAGAGAACAGTGCTGTTGGGAAAAAGAAAAATAGTTGAAATGAGGACAGAAAAGAAAAAGAATCTAGAAGCCTCTTGAGCCTGCTGGTGGGAGGCCAGACCAAGCTCCCTCCAGACTCCAGGATTCAATTTAATCGACTCAAATTCAACATATTTTTTCTGGTGCCGCCCACGTGCCCAGTGGAGAGGTACTGCCATGGTGACAAGGACCTAGGCTATCTCGTGCGTCTCTAATACCTGGCATGGAGTTAGATACTGGGAGCCATGTGCTATTTACATGAGGTCTGGGATCTGATCCTCTGAGGGATGTGCTGAGGAGCTGGGTCCTCCCCGGCCCTTGTGGAGGGCACTGCAAAGGGTCAGGATGTTCAGAACAGGTGGGAGGGCCCAGACTTGGTGTTCCGGAATTTTCCAAGTCATGAGGAGCAGGGGGAGCAGGAGAAACAGCAGAGCGAGGTGCCACTTAGAGGCAAGTGGGTCCGCATCCGTAGAGCTGGGGAGGTGAGGATGGCACTCCTTCCAGGGAGGGGAACAGCGTGCGCAGAGGCCCAGCAGGGTGGGTGAGAGGCCAGGCTGGGCATCCGTTTGGGCTCAGGAGGCTGAGGCTGTGCGAGCCAGGGTGAAGGGCGCCTGATTGATGAGATAGCAGGGAGCCCTGGAAGATGCATGGTCTGGGGTGGGAGCTGGGATTGGGAGTCCCTCTGCTTTGGGGAGAGTCTCTGTTCCATCCTTCTGGGCAGGAGGTAATGAGGGTCCCTTCTGAAGATGGAGGTGAGAATGAAGAGGCCTGGCAGAGGGGCATGGCACGTGACGTGGAGCGCAGGGGTAGTGGGCCGGCTGTGGTGGGGGGCTGCGGATCAGGAGCTCAGAATGGACTGGGTGCTGGAGAAGGGGTGGCTGGCCTAATGAATTGCCACAAACTTGGTGAAACAGCAGAAGTGCACTCAGTCACAGTTTGGGAGGTCAGAGGTCTGAAATCAAGCTGTCAGAGCTCTGCTCCCTCTGAAGGCTCTGTGGAGGGTCCTTGCTGCCTCTTCCAGCCTCTGGCGGCTCCTGGTGTTCCTTGGCTTATGGCCGCATTGCCCCAGGCTGCCCTGCTCTGTGAAGGCCATGTGAAGGGTCTTTCCCTATGCGTTTCTGTGTCCTTTCCTTGTCCTAAAAGGACACAGTCATTGGAGTTAGGGCCTACCCTAAATTCAGGATGAGTTCAGCTGGAGATTCTTAACTACAGTCGCAGACACCCTGCCCTTGGAAGGCAGATAGGCAGTGAGGCTTCAGTCCTGCTGTCCCTGCCTGCTTATCTGTGTGCTGCCCTGCTTTTCAGAGTTGAGGCAGCGGGAAAGGAGCTTAACATTGGAGATGGTAGCTGGGCTGCAGGGCTGGAGGAAGTCTGAGTCTGGGAGGAGACAGGTCATCTGCATAGGGTTTCTGGGGGCGCCCACCGCTGCCAGTCTGGAAAGCCTGGGGGCTCCGCAAGTCCCTGCTGTGTGCCTCGTTGCCAGGCCCTGAAGGCTCCAGACTGGGACTCGGATGAGGGCAGGTGGAGTGCGACTTGAGGGTGGAGTGGGCAGCCACGGGGTGCCAGCCACATTGGAAAGAAAATTCAGTATGGACAGACACCCTGATTGTGAAAGAAAATACGGAAATTTTGATCTTTATGTGACATCTCTGTGACCCGAGGACACCTGTCTGTGCCCTGTCACTTTCTGCCAAGCACAGTCTCCAGACCAGCAGCATCAGCTTGACTTTGGAACCTGTTAGAAGTGTAGATTCTCTGCCCCCCACCCCACACCCTGCCTGCTGAATTAGGTACTGTGGGTGGGGCCTGGCACTCTGGGTCTTTACCAGCTTCTGCAGGAGACCCAGATGCCTTCTCCCAGTTCCCTAAAGTGCTGAGTAACATGACCTCGCTGGGGTTCAGAGCGCTGTGCATCCACATACTGGGAGCTGCCTTGTCTGCTCAAGACATTGAGTGAAATTGGCCAGATGGTGCTAGAGACAGAGGCTGGTCCTGGTGGGGGAGGCCCCGGGGACGGAAGGAGTCTTGGTCTTACAGTGTGAGAGGACAGCCAGGGCAGGGGCAGTGTGTGGGCCAAAACCCCAAGGCAGGAATGATCTTGATGGACAGGAGCACCCAGCTGAGGGGGCGATTGATGTAGAGACAAGGTAGGGAGCAAGCAGAAACACCGGTTTGTCTGTTCCTTGGTCTAAATATTGGGTCAAGAACATGGGAAGGGGAGTGAGACAGGAAGTGCCAGATGGATTACAAATTTACAAGTTGGCGAAAACTGTGGGGTCAGATTTCTACGACGGGAAGCGGGGGTGGGCTGCAGCCCATGAGGGGCACAGGCTTGAGCAGACCTGAGCTCCTGGCCTGGTAGGGGCACAGCTCTGAGCAGTGGGGGTGAGGGGGTGGGGTGGGGCTGTGGCGGACAGTGAAGCCCCCAGCTCAGGCCTAGGAAGTGTAGGAACAGAAGGGCTCCCAAGTGCCAGGGAGGTGGGTGGGGAAAGTCTGGCCAGTAATTCCTGCTTACAACAAGAGGTGACTCAGCCTGCCTGGCTAATTTGGGGGGAAAGAAAGGAAAGGAAAAAGCACTGCTTTTGGCTATAACAATAATAGACAATAGTTGTAGAATATACCCTACAAAATATAAAGAAGAACATAACAACATCCCATAGAGATTTGGTACATTTCTTTCCCTTGCATTTTCATTGCACACACACAAACAGAGTTAACGAATTCAAGTCATGCTTTATAATCATTGTGTTGAGTCATGCTTTTTTAAACTTCACTAAGCATATCAAAAGTAATTTTCTTGTCATGAAAGCATATCATAAGTATTCTTTAACAATGTGATTTTCATTGACTGCATTCATTAGTAATGTACATCTAGGGCACTTATAGATGTTTGCTATTATAAAATAATACTGCAGTGGAAGTCTGTGTCTCTCGTTTGTTTTCCTTCACGTTTATTCCTAGAAATGAGTTTAATGGGTCAAAGGGTGTGGACAGTTTTAAAGTTTAGTGGGTTGAAATGTGAACATTTTAAAGTCCATCAATAACAAAAACTGCCAAAGTGCTTTCCAAGATGTCACAGTGACCCACAGTGGTGAAGGTGGGTAATTTTCAGATCATTTGTATGGAAAGAGAAACAGCCTGAGTTGAGGTTCAGGCAGCATCCTGACCACACAGGAAGGGCCGGTACACACCTGCTGGTGCCAACACCTGAGAGCATGTCAGAGTCAGACAGCAGGGAAGACAGTGGCGCGGGTCGCCCTGGGGTCATTGGAAGAGTTCTGACTCGACTCCACGGTTCCAGAGTCTCTGCGTGGAAAATGCAGCAGCAGGCCTTGGAAACTCCTTGGCTCTAGACGAGGGGCAGAAGTTGCCCTGGAAAGGAGGGTGCCCGCTCCCAGGGCAGGAGCAGGCAGGAGGCTGGGGACCACCCCCAGGGCGTGGATCTGGGGGCTCTGCCAGGCCGAGGTGGGAGTGGCTGGGCTGGGCGGCACGTGCTTGTCTGAGCTGTTGTCCTGGAGCCCCGGCCCCAGGGAAAGGCTGCCCAGTGCTAGGATGGCCTCCTGGGGGCCCAGTGCCCCCACCCCAGCCTGTGAGGACGTGTCCCCTCATAAAGGGAGGCGCGTGCTCACTCTGCATACAGGTGCGTGAAGGGAGGCGTGTGCTCACTGCACACCGCAGGAGCAGTGTGAAGCAGCAGGTGCTCACGTGTTCTTGCTGGGTGCGGCCCGCAGATCTTGGGATCCTCCTCGGCATGGCCTTGGGAAATGAGGGCTTGGAGCCGTGGCCCTTGACCCAGAGCGACGAGTGCGCCGTCACTGGCTTCCTGCGGGACAAGCTGCAGTACCGGAACCGCCTTCAGTACATGGTACCCTCGGGCCCTCGCCACGTCCTCTTCCCGAGGCCCTTGGCTCACGGGACCAAGGGCCCGGGCGTCATGCCCCTCCCTGGCCTGGTGTCAGCCCCGAGCCCGCCCGGCCCCTCGCACACACCCTGAGCCCGGGCTGCGCTGCCTGTCCTTGCTCCTACCAGCTGTCCTCAGTCCCTCACCCGCCTCTCATCTGAACCTTGATCCCGCCTCCACATGGCCCTCTCCCGGGGGAGAAGGGATTGCAGGAAATCTTGGGGGAAGCCCAGACATGTATTGTTAACAAGGGTGATAAGGACCTGGAAATTACAATGTTTGATTCTTTTGTTAGGGTGAATCATGTGGCATGTGGCTCTATAGGTCCTTTTTTTTTCAACAGCTTTGAAGACATATTGAGACATAATTCATATACCACACAATTTATGTACTTAAGTGTACATTTCACTGATTTTTAGTGCATTTTCAAAGTTATGAAACCATCACTATAAGTTTCAGAGAAATCCTTTAAAGTTATCTTCCTAAAAAAAAAAAAGGTTATCTTCCTCACCCAAAGGAGATGGTTCTCTCAGAGCAGTAAGCCTCTCACCCCACATCTTGGCCTGAGACGAGGCCTGGTGAGGACCTATCCTTCCCTGTTTCCTGGAGGAAAGCGCTGTCTTTGTCCCAGCTGGGGGCCAAGCACGTATTTTCTGTGGAGGACCACTGCCATGACCTCTGCTGTCGAGGGCCGGTCCGGGGTGCTTCCCCTGCATCAGATTCCTCTGGGAGGCTGGGGGAATCTGAGCCGTTTCTGACTCTGACCTTCTCCTTTGTTCTTTTATCTTCCTAGAAACACTACTTCCCCATCAACTACAGGGTCAGTGTGCCTTATGAGGGGGTGCTCCGAACAGCCAACGTCACCAGGCTGGTAAGAATCCCCTCCTCTGGACTGGGGAGGCCCCTGCCTCCTGGGACACCCTGGGCGCCCTGCCAGGGAAGCTCACTGGTTTGGGCTGGTCCCGCTGCCAGGAGGCTTTCCTGGCCCCTCAGGCAAGCCCACCCTTGGCTCAGGCCCAAGCTTGCTCCCCACCCCCGGGGGCTGCCCGTGGTCTACCCCCTGTGCAGGGCAAATCTGGGGGGGCATTGGGCCTGGGGGCGGGGCTTCAGTAGTTTCTCTGTCCCTGCAGCAGCGGGCCCGGGTGAGCCAGCAGGAGCTTCGGTATCTGTGGGTCCTGGTGAGTCTCAGTGCTACTGAGTGGGTGCAGGAGGTGCTGCTCGAGGGCCACCCGTCCTGGAAGTACCTGGAGGAAGTGCACACGCTACTGCTGGACGTCAAGCAGGGCCTGCGGGTGAGCGTTGCAGGGGTGCAGGCAGGTGGGGCAGGTGGGTGTGTGCGCGCACGTGTGAGCATTCTGGGGGTGTGGGCGGCAGGGTGCGTGTGTGTGTGCCTGAAGGTGAGCACTCCAGGGGTGCAGACAGGCAGGGTGTGTGTGCGTGTGTGTGCACGCCTGTGAGCATTCTGGTGGTGCGGGTGGCAGGGTGTGTGTGTGTGTGCCTGAAGGTGAGCATTCTAGGGGTGCAGACAGGCAGGGTGTGTGTGTCTGTGTGTGTGTGCGCGTGTGCGCCTGCAGTTGAGCATTCTGGGGGTGCAGGCGGCAAGGCGGGTGTGTGTGTGTGTATGTGTGCCTGAGGTGAGCACTCCAGGGGTGCAGACAGGCAGGGTGTGTGTGTGTGCGTGTGCACCTGCAGTTGAGCATTCTGGGGGTGCGGGCGGCAAGGCGGGTATGTGTGTGTGTTTGTGTGTGCACACGCACCTGCAGAGGAGCATTCCAGGGGTGCGGGCAGGCAGGGTGTGTGTGTGTGTGTGTGCGTGCGTGTGTCAGACTGTGGGTGAGCATTCTGGGGATGCTGGCGGGCGGGGCAGATGTGTGTGTGTGCGTGTGTGTGTATGCCTGCAGGTGAGCATTCTGGGGGTGTGGGTGGCAGGGTGCGTGTGTGTGTGTGTGTGTCTGCCTGCAGGTGAGCATTGTGGGGTGTGGCAGGCAGGGTGTGTGTGTGTGTGTGCCTATGCGTATACATGGCCAGAAGCTATCAAAGGAGGAGGTAAACGCGTGGAAAGTCCTGGCTTGTCCTGGAGGGTGTGGGAGAAGTGGGGGTCAGGGTGATGGGCTCGGCTCTGGGGGCAAGAGATGCAACTGAGACCCTCTTAGGCTCTGCAAACCCAGGTGAGTCATTGGCCCCACTCACTGTTTCCACAGCTCTGGAACAAGCAAAGGGCAGAGGGGTAAATGGGTGGAGCACAGGGGGCTTAGGGTGACGGACTCTTCTGCATGATGCTGTAATTGCATCTGTCAGAGCCCACCAATGTACAGCAGAAAGAGTGAACCCTAATGTAAAGAGAGTTTAATTAATAATGATAATAGGGGTTCCTGATTGCTGCCTTTCAGCGGTGTTGATCTGAGGCCTGGTATATATGTCGTCCAAAAGGCCTGAGGAGTATGGTGACAGGATCACTGTGTTGTCTGTGCAGGCCGTGTGTGTGCTGTGGGACCCCCTCCCCACATGCCCACTCGCCCTCCTTAGGACCCCAGTAAACCCCTGCCGGGCCCCCAGCTGCTGCCCAGCAGGAACAGCCGACAGGGTGCCAGCTGTGAGCTCCTGCCGACCTCAGGGTGCGGGGCCAGCACCTGCTTTTGCAGCCGCCTGGAACTGTGTGCAGGCTGTTTTCCGGCAGAGGCCAGGAGGCTAGGCCGTGTCCTTGGTAGCTCTCTTGTGCCTGGGGGCAGGGTAGTGGGGTGCTGACCTGGGGAACTCCCAGGTTGTACTCCATCCTCAGTTTTCCTCGGGAGTGTCTCTGGCTCCTGGAGCTCCAGGGAGCTGCTCTGGGGGCTGGGAAGGAGATGTGGGTAGGCTGCGGCCCTGCCCACCTGGGCTGTCCGGGGTGAGCCAGTTTTTAACCCCGCCTTTATCAGTGGTGGTGGCCGAGGCCCCCTCACGGGTGACCCGTGTCTCTGGGGTGGTGGGTCCTCCCAGGGCGAGGCCCTTGGCTCTCCTCTCAGCCTCACTGCTCTTTCTGAGCCTTTGTACGTTAGCTTTCTGGGACTGCCAGCACAGATCCCTACTAACTGACCCCTTCAATCCGAGCCTGCGCCTCCTCTCTTCCAGTCGCTTGGGGCTTCCCAGGTGGCACTTCTGGTAAAGAACCTGACTGTCAGTGCAGGAGACGTAAGAGACATGGGTTTGATCCCTGAGTCAGGAAGACGCCCTGGAGGAGGGCACTGAAACCCGCTCCAGTGTTCTTGCCTGGAGAGTCCCATGGACAGAGGAGCCTGGCGGGCTGCAGTCCATGGGGTCACACAGGGTCGGACGCTACTGAGGCAACTTAGCACGCACGGTGGCTTAAAACAACAAAAATTGTTGTCACGGTTCTGAAGAGCAGAAGTCTGAAGTCACGGGGGCAGCAGGGCCACGCTCCCTCAAAGGCTGCTGAGGATGCTCCTTCCCAGCGCTTCTAGCTTCCGATGCTGGTGCCCTGGTTCTGGGCTTGCGGCGCATCACTGCAGCCACTGCCTGTCTTCACGTGGCCTTTCCCCGTGTGTCCCATGTCCTTTCTCCTGTCTCCCATCATCCGATTTAGGGCCTACCCTAAACCCAGACTCATCTCATCTGGAGGTCCCTGACTTAACTACACCTGCAAAGACCCTGTTTCCTCACATTCACAGGACTTGGTATAGCTTCCCTTGTGGCTCAGCTGGTAAAGAATCTGCCTCCAATGCGGGAGACCTGGGTTCAATCCCTGGTGTAGAGAAGATGCCCTGGAAAAGGGTATGGCAGCCCACTCCAGTATTCTGGCCTAGAGAGTCCCATGGACAGAGGATACTGGCGGGCTACAGTCCAAGGTGTTGCAAAGAGTCGGACAAGACTGAGCAACCAACACTTTTCACCTTTTCGCAGCTTTTTTAGGGGGACATGGGGCAGAGAGCACACTTCACTCTGAGGAATGGCCTTGCCCAGCTCAGGCCCCACAGCCCCCTGCTCCGTGTCTGCTCCTGCGGCTCCGGGCCCCGCTCCGTCCCGAGCACGGTGCCGGTGCCCCCTGCACTGGGCCCCTTAGAGTAAGTGTGACTCAGAGGAGCCCACCTGCTTGGAGCCGGAGACCCAGCCCTGTTGGCCTGCTTTGGCCTCATGATACGACCGACCCTCCTGCGGGTCCTGCCTCCTCTTCCTGGAGTGGGTGTGGGTCTCTGCACCTGAGGGGCAGTGTCCCTGGGACGGGGACTCCTCATGCAGGGGTGGCCAGGCCTGCGCTGGAGCAGCGAGGATGCCCCCAGCTCCTCCCGGTCTGGCCGCCCCCAGGAGAAGAAAGAGAAGCCTCTGTGTGTTGTGCTTGGGTGAGGGGCATTGAGGGAGGCCCTCCCAGGAAAAATGGCACCCGCAGGAAGGAGAGAAGTTACTCTTGGGTGTTCTGGTCACCTCTTTCCAGGCAGGACGAGTTTGCCCACCCCAACCTCACCCCCGCCAGCTCTCTGGGGATCTCTGCACGGGCTGAGGGTGGCACCTGTGGCCCTAAAGCTTTCCTCCCTTCCAGGGTGTGGAGGTCAGCCCCCAGGTGGAAGCAGCGTTGAACCTCCTGAGTGCGCCGGGAAGCCTGAAGCTGGTGCGGCCCAAAGCGCTGCTGGATAACTGCTTCCGGGTCATGGAGTTGCTCTACTGCCCTTGCTGTGAGGAGCTCTGAGGGGCTGGGGCTGGGTACCGGGGTCTGAGCCAGGTCACCGGGCAGGGCCGGGGCCTCCTCAGCACGTCCTCTGCTCCCCAGGGCCACAGGCCATTTCTGGGAGCAGAGATGGACTTGGGTACACGGAGGGCAGTGTGGCTCGCTTGTGGTGAGGGGGCTGCTGACCAGTCCTGCAGCCTCATTTCTGTGTGTGTGTGTGTGTCCCCGCAGGTAAAGAAAGCTCTGTGCTAAACTGGCAGGACTGTGAGGCGCCTCAGCCTCAGCCTCGAAGCCCAGCCTCAGCACAGTGTGAGGCCGCCCAGCTGTACCCTCTGCCCCAGCCGCCCTCCACCTCCCTGCCCCGCGTCCTGGGACCCTCGGCTGGCCCCCCTGCTCAGTGAAGGTGCTGAGGGCACAGGGCGAAGGCTTCCTGCCCGGAGGTGCCTAGGGTGACCTGGGGGGCAGCTGGAGGAGCCCCTGCAAGAGATGGACTGGGCCCGAGATTTCGGGTGGTGGTGGGGAGCACCTCCGGAGAGGAGGCCCCTGAAGTGTTTTCCTTTGAGGACAGAGCCTGAGAAGCGTGCAGCTCCCCCTCCTGTGGTCTCGCCAGGAGCGGCAGGGGCCGGGGCACCTGAAGGTCGATGAAGGCAGACTATGGCTGCTCCTGGCCCTGCCTGGGCTGCCCCTTCCCCGAGAGCAGTGCCGACCTTCTGAGTCAGGCGGTGGGAACTATACCAGGTGGGTGTGGGCGGAGCCCGGCTCAGCAAGGCTGGGGCGGGGGGCAGCAAAGCTGGGACAAGGGCATGGTTGCCAAATGCCACGACTTGCCATAGTTTCTTTTATTTTTTCTATTAAACACTGCTTTGTTTTGGTTTGCTTGCATCTTTGAGGGTGAACCTGGAGAAGGCTGCTTTCCCCTCCTGCCAAGTGCAGGAAGCAGGAAGGGGGGCGGGGTGGTCTGGTGCAGGGGCCTGGGGCTGAGGATTCAGAGTTGGAGTGGTCAGGGCCTTCGCCAGGGTCCGGAATGGTGGATATTTGAGGGACTGAGTTCCCTCCAGCCCCGCTCCAGCCCATGAAGCCTGACGGAGCAGCAGTATCGGGCTGATCCCTCACCAGCGTGTCCTGGACACTGCCCTCTTTCCCTCCATCTGGCAGCCCCAAGACCACCCCCAGCAGGGACGAAACTGCGGTGCTCAGACACATGGGTCCTGGCACAAGATCTGGCCACTCCAGCCCTGCCCACACGGAGCCCTGCGCTCCTCGGCTGGGGGCGAAGGCGGCGGAGGAAGCCAGTAGACAGCGGTGTTAATTACAGTACAACTTTATTAATACTGGGATCTTCACAGTGCATTTGTTACTTGTAGCAGTGACTATTTAAATCAAGGGGAGGGTGGGCTGCGGAGGTGGGTGGGGGGGAAGGAGAGGATAATTTATCCAAAAACAGACAGAAGAGAAACAAAATGGTTTAGATGGGATAGGGGCACCGGGCAGGGCGGGTGGTGGAGGGGAGACACAGTGAGTGGGAACCAGAAGGGGAGGTCTAGGGAGGGGAAATAAATTAAAAAAAGGAACAAGTTAACAACAGCACCAGAAAAGTTACTTCAGTCAAAAGACGCTTTGAATAGAGTATTTCTCTGTACAAAAAGAAAAAAATGAAACAAAGGTAAAGAAGTTCCCCAAACCAAAGTTTGTAACATGGGATGGTTGGCTCGGATCCTGAAGGGGCAGGCCTACTTGGCGGTCACTAGAGGGATGAGGCGGTCAAGGGGGTGGAGGAGCTATGTACAGCCCTGGGGGCGGCCTGGAGGGGGAGCCCGCAGTCTAGGTGAGGGGTGCCTGTGCCATGCCCACCCCCCTGGGGTCCCCGAGGCCACACCCCTCCTCCGGGCAAGCTCTCACGGGACCCAGGGTCCCCCCCCTCCCCGCCACTGCCCCTTACCCTGCTCACATCAGATAACCTGCGTCTTCAATCAGCCCACCTGGACAAACCCTTGGGGTACACTCTGCCCCAAGCCTCCAAGTGCAGGCCGTCTGCTCCCCCGGCCCTCCTCCAGGTGTGGTGCGCTCAGCTCAGCGAGGCTCCTTTCTCCCACCTAGCGACTTACAGGTACCGTCCTCCACCCACCTCTGGGGAGCCCCTCAGAGGCATCCCTGGTTCCCCACACCCGCCTGGGGGCCATGCCTAGACCCGTTTCTGGAACAAGAACTACCAGGAGCCCCGGGTCCATCCAGACCAGGAAGAGCCAGCTCTTCTGACCCCAGGAGCCCCTGCCCCGTGACCCTGCCAGCATGGCCGCTCTCGGCAGGCCTGCGGGTCATAGGAAGCCCTCCGCTTGCCCTTGGCACACGTGCTTTTACCTGCTTAGAGTTGGCGCAACATACTGTGCGGGTGGAGGGGTGCACTCCCCCACCTCAGTCCTGCCACCCGGGACCACCCTGGAATGGCATCCCCTCTGACAACAGAGTCAGAGCCAATCTCCCCCAGCAGCCCTCCCCCTTTGGCCTGCAGCAAACGGGCGGGAGGCCCAGCCCCTGGCCCCTTCCCAGCGCATTGTGGCTTTGCTCTGGACACTGCAGGGAACACTGCCCCTGCCCCTGGCCCCGGGAGCCGAGCCGGCTCTCGTTGTCCTCCCACGGCCGTCAGGCCACCGCAGGGCCCTCTGTCCCTCAGGCACTCTTGGACACACCCTGTACCGGCTACCCTGTCCCCACACGCAGTCCTTGTTCGGTCAGCTCACTTTATTACATATTCATAGAAGAACCCACCCCCCACCCTCTCCAGTTTCAGTCCCTGACCCAAAGGTGGCTGAAACTGTCACCAGAGTCAGAGTCCCCACGTGCCCAGATGACGATGGGATTCTGAGCAGCTCCTGGGAGCCCGGGAAGCCGACAGCCTGGCCTCCACCACCTTCCCTGCTGCCCTGCCCCGCCCCAGCCACACGTGCAGGCAGGGAAGCTGTCTCAGGGCCCCCACCCTCCTCTGGGTAGGCACCCTGCACGTCCTCCCCAAGAGACTCGACTTGGGCCCCAGGCCCCCGTCCCCAGTGGGTGGGCTGGCTCCTAACTTCACTGGCCCCCCCAAATGGCCAGCTGCTCTGTGGAGCCTTCGGGTTAAACCAGACACTAGCCCTGGCCCCTCCATGGACCCCGCCTCCCTGATGGAGGAGAGCCTGGGAGACGCAGAGACGGGTGACGGCGGGTGATGGAGAGGGATGTGGGGGGCCCTGGCCAGGGGCGTGGGACCACTGTCCCTGGGGAGACGGGGAGGCGCTGGGCCTAGCTGCCTGAGCAGTGCACTGCGGGCCCCGCCAGGCAGGTGGGCCCCTCCGCTGGGGGCACGAGCACAGCTCTGTGGCTCGCCCGAGTGGGGAAAGGGCAGAGCCGGGCAGGAGGGAGAGGAAGGGTAGAGTAGGCAAGAAAAGGTTGAAACAGGCTTCAAATCCAGTTCAAAGCCCGCAGGCTCCTTCCTGGCACGGTCTAAGAAGTCACTTCCTGTTTAAACCATGAAATCCAAGCTGGGTTTCTCCTCAAGCTGGGTTTCTCCTCCCAATAAAGTGGCTTTGACTCGTGTGACTTAAAAAAAAAAAAGCTCGCCTGGCTCTGCTCACTCCTGACTGTGCCTTTGCTGTGAGCCGCCGCTGCCCATCGGCCAGGTCCCCTGCCTCGCCTGGCCGGGGGCCGGGAGGGAGGGAGGCGCCATCACAAGATGCGGGGCGCCGACCTGTCGTTGGTGACGGTCCTGCGGAGCCGCACCCCGCGCCGGATGGCCACCAGCATGTCTTCGGCTGGAGGCTCGCCAGGGGCGGCGGGGGGTGGGGCGGGCGTCTCCTCCGCGGGGGCGGCCGACAGGGCGGAGGGGAAGGGGAACTGGCCCTCGGCCAGCGCGTGGGCGCCCGCCACCAGCTCCCCGAGCTTCTCCACCAGGCTGTGCCGGTTGGCGGCCAGCTGCTGCTGCTGCTCCTCGTCGTCCTGGGCCGCCAGCCCCGCGTAGCCGGCCGCCTCTGGGGACGGGCTGCCCCAGGCCGTGTTGGGCAGGCTGAGCCTCTTCGGAGAGGCTTTGGCCAGGTCCGGCGCCAGGGCCGCGGCGGCCTCGTCGGCGTAGAAGACGCACTCCTCGCTGCCCGCCCGCGTGGGCCCCACGTAACCGGGGGAGTCGGGCACCGTGGGCGTCTTCACCGGCACGATGGGCGGCCGGATGGGGATGGGGCCGGCGCTGGAGAGGGCGCGGCGCACGGTGGGCTTGGTGGACGGCGTGCGGCGGATGGTGGCCACGCCCGGGGGCGCCCCCGAGGCGGTGGGCAGCCCCGCGGTGGAGGCCGGACGCTTGGTCTGGATCAGGCGGCGGTAGTTCTGGGCGATGTTGCTGTTGCGAGGAATGGTGGACGACTTGTCGAATTCGGGGGGCCCCTCGCCGTCTGCGTCCCCGTTCACGGAGTAGCAGTCGTAGTCAGAGCCTGGCGGAGCACGGGATGCGGTGAGCCCAGAGCCTCGGGCGAGACGGCGCGGCCCCAGCCCGAGCCCTGGGGCCTACCTTGGGAGGGGATGGTGTCCTCGGAGCATGAGGGCGTGGTGGTCTGCGTGCTGTAGCCACTCGAGTACTGCAGGGAGTCCCGGCTGCTCTTCTGGTGCTCCAGGCTCAGGCCGCGGGTCAGCACCATGGCCAGGTCGCTGGCCGCAGGGGACACCTCCTCCCCGTGCTGGGTGCGGGGAGACCGCAGGCTGAGGCCTCGCTCCCTGCTTCCCGTTCCGCCCGGCCGGGGAGGCAGTACCCCTAGGTGGCCCGGGCTGGCCCCGTGACCACTTGCCGGGCCTTAGAGCTGGCCTGGGAGAGAGGGGGGCCCGTTCATCCGGCCCGGGAGCGGCCCTTACCTTGGCTGCGATTGTGGCGGGGGACATGCGGGGCCGCGGGGCCTCCTCTCCACTGGGGCCCGGGGCGCCCCCGCCGGCCGGGCCTGGCTCCGGGTCTCGCAGGAGCTCCACGCGGTCCTTCCTCCGCTGCAGCGCGGTGCCTGCGGGCTGCTCGTGGGGGCCGACCTTGGTCCAGTCCTGGAGGGCGAGGCGGGCGGGTCAGGAGGCCCCTGCGCCCTGCTCCTCACGGCTGAGGGCAGAGCACCCAGGGCACTGTGACTCCCCAGCCCCTCCTGGGCTCCTTGTCCTGCAGGACGGAGGAGGTGAGCATGTGGGGAGCAGCTGCATAGGGTGCCCAGGAGGTTTCTTTTGTGGGGTATGTGTGCGTACGCATACCCCTCTGGTCGAACCTGGTCCCTCCCTGAGTGCCCGGGCAGGTCGGGGGCACTGACCGAGGTCGGGGAGCTGCACTCGCTAACGGACTGGCAGGTCTCCGAGGCCTCGGAGGATGCGGAGCTGGAGGACTTCTGCAAGTGGAGGCGAGCGGGCAGGCGGACGGGGCAGGGTGGCAGGCGGGGAGGGAGAGAACACATCCGGTCACGGCGCCAGCACGTGGGGGGCCCTGACTCAGCCCCCCACGGCCTCCCCGCCCACACCACGCCCTGCGCCGCCAGCGCCTGCGCGGAAAGCAGCACCCAGAGCGCACCCCCGGCGCGGACCTACCCCACCGCAGCCCAAGAACCACGCTCCTGAGAATTAACAAAGTGACTGACTGCTGCTGGCCTGCACGTGGCGAGCAGGGAAAGAGCGATGCTAAGGACGGCAGTGGGGTGCTGGCTTGAGCTGCCGGGGGCTTTGTCACCGTTCTCTCGGAAGGGCAGGCCTGGGGGGGAATGAGTCCAGGGTTCCATCCTGCGAGTGTTACGCGGGGCTGCCTGTTAGGTGTCTAAGCCCAGATGCAGTGCCAGCAACGGTATTTAACAATCTGGAGTTTAGGGAGAAGTCAGGTTTGGAGCCCTAAATCCAGCAGCGTCAGACAGAACCAGGTGACGCAGGCAGTCGGGATGAGGGTGGTTAGAGAAAGGGCTCAGGACGCCAGGCTGCCCTCAGCGCCTGGGAAGGAGAGGACGGCCCAGTAAAGAGGAGTGACTGGACCTGCCAGTGGCGTGGAAGACGGCGAATAGGCGACAGTCACAGAAATGCGGGAAGGACCCTACCCGCCACGGAGGGAGGGCCAGTGGTGCGGGGGCTGCTGGGATGGGGCAGATGGGGCAGCGGGGTGTCCATGGAGACCCCCAGGACTGCTCATAGAGCGGCGGGGCGGATGCCCAGTGAAGACAGGGCCGAGGACTCTCGGCGGCTCCTGCTCTGGCAGTGGCAGGGGCCAGGTGCCCGGGGAGGCCCCCAACTCAAGACAAAGGGTGAAGAAAAGGAAGCAAGGGCAGAGCAGGACCACGAGGGTCCCCAGGGCAGAGGTGGCTTCAGCACTGTGGTTGAGACTGGGCAGGCGCAAGACGGAGAGCCCGCCGATGACCGGAAGTAAGCCTGGAAGGGGACCGGTCAGGTGCAGCTCTCCACGTCCTATGCCCACCAAGGCACATTCTCGAAAGCATCTTGGTTTCAACTCCCAGACTTTTTTAGTTATGATTAGCCAAGATGACCAAAAGAAAAGGAAAGTAAACTCTGTAAGTAAGGATTCAAAGAAAATAATAAACACGTTGAGAGTTTTACCAATATAATTGCTAAAACAGAAAGAGAAAAAAATGTTTGGAAAACTCAGTGGAAAAATTCAACATCCATTCATGAAAAACACTCACACTAGTGATAGAAAGGAACTTCATTCATCTGATAGAGTTGTCTGCAAAAATATCAATTCTTTTCTTTCTGAGGCTGGAGAAAGATAAAGATGCCCACTATCACCATTTCTATTAAGTACTAGAAGTCCTAGCAGTGCAATAAAGCATGAAAAAGAAGTAAAAAGGAGTAAAAAACAAAAGGACTAGAAAAAAAGAAACTGATTGTTTGTAAAAGACCTGATTGTGTATGTAGAATATTCATTCTATGATTATCAGAACTAACAAGTGTTTTTAATGAGGTTATTGGATACAAGATCAACATGCAAAAAAAAAAAAAAAAAAAATCAAATTGCTAAATATCAGCAGCTGAAAAACAAGTAAGAGACTCTGAAAAAGCCAAAATAATTTAAAATAGCATTAACAAATATCAAATACCCAGGGGAAAAAAATCCAGTGGTATATGTGCAAGATCCTCATATGAAAACAGCAAAATATTACTGAAAGAAGGTAAAGCCATAATAAAATGGAGAGACACATGTAATCCCAGTCAGAATCCCAGGGATTGCTTTTTTTAAAGTGGAAACTAGCAAGCTAACATTAAAATTTAGAAGGAAATGCAAAGGGCCCAAAACAGACAGATAATATTGAAGAGTAACATACCTAGAGAACTTTTATTACCAGGCGTCAAGGTTCTGTATAAAGTTACAATAATTAAGATGGTGTCCTACTGGTATAAGAACAGACAGATCAACCAGTGGAACAGAATACAAACTCCAGAAACAGCTACACATTCACAGACACCTGCTTTATGATGAAGTTAACACACTACAGTGCAGTAGAGGAAAAAGATGCGATTTTCAATAAATTGTCAATTAGATATCCATATGGAAAAAAATTACTCCTTCAGTTCAGTTCAGTCGCTCAGTCATGTCCGACTCTTTGCGACCCCATGGACTGCAGCCCACCAGGCTTCCCTGTCCATCTCTCATACTAACACACATACGAACAGTCAATTCCAGATGACCTGCAGATCTGAGTGAAAAAAGGTAAAACAAAAAGGCTTTGCAGGGAATTCCCTGGTGGTTCAGTGGTTGGGACTCCACACTTCCATGCTGAAGGCCCAGGTTCAGTATCTGCTGGTTGGGGAATTACAATCCCACAAGCGGAGCAGCAGAGCCAAAAAAAAAAAAGAAACAACTTTTGGAGGAAAACATCTTTGTGACCCTGGAGTACACAAAAATAGTGCTAACAGGACAGAAAAAGCACTAATGATTGGAAAAAATGGATAAATTGGACATACATTAAAATTTTACTCCTATTAAAGGAGAAAAAGAGCAACCCACAGACTCAAAACAGATTATCAGATGAAAAGACTTGTAGCCACAGTGTATAAGAAGTTCTACAAATCAACAAGAAAAAGACATACAACCTAGTAGAGAAAAAGCAACAAAAGATCTGAACATTTCCTTCATAAAAAGAAGATATGGCCTTTAAAAGTATGAAAAACCATTCAACCTCATTAGTCATTAGGGGAATGCAAATTAAAAACACAGGGCACTGTGACTGTAACACCTACCAGAATGGCTAACGTGAAAAGAATGTAGGACACGCAAGCTGACGAGGCGGAGCAACAGCAATAAAGCTGCTGCTCTGCTCCTCCTGCCCTTCTAACTACGGGGAGGCAGCAGACACAACCGCAACGAGCGACGTTCCACACAACACAGGACAGCCTCCCAAAGTCGCGGGGGAGGGACCGAGCAGCCAGCGCAGGCCGGAGAAGCCCAAGGCCACAGCGTGAGATGCAGCACAAGGCCTGTGTCAGAGCCTGGGCTCCTGGGCTGGGAAAGCTGGCGTCACGTGAACAAAGTACGCCAGCGGCTACTGGCGGCGCGCCCATGCTGGTCCCCTGGTGTTGAAAACTTGGTAGTTACATGAGATGTTAACCTCAGGGGAGACTGCAGAGGGCGGGTGGGAACTGTACTCTCTTTACAGATTGTCTACAAGGCTAGAGTTATTTCAAGATAATCATAATAAAAATAAACCTTAATGGACAGGTTAAATCGCTGTAAAATAGAGAAGGTGCACTGGATGATAGACCTGAAGAGATGATCCAGAGAAACACGGAGATGGGAGGTGTGGCGGGGGCAGACACAGAAACAAGGCCAGAGGGCCTGACGCACGCTTCCCTGAGAACCAAGAGTGAGAACAGAGAATGCCTGCAAACTCCTAGAACCAATGAAAAACACGAGTGCAAAGACAGGAACTCAAACCCACCCAGGGAGAGAAAGGGAGAAGATCCACAAGCAGACACGCTGCAGGAAAACGCAAGTGACCAGGCAGAGCAGTCAGGTCACTCACAAAGGCACGGCAGTGAGGACAGCAGCCTCTCGGCCGGCAGCAGAAGCCAGAACATGGGGAAAACACCCTCGGGGTGTGGTGACAGAGCAGCTGGCACCCGGCACTGCATCCCTGGCAAAACTAGCTTTTAAGGAAGAGGAAAAAAGTGAAGCCTGTTTACAGGAAAACAAACCTGAGTTTACTACTACAGACCCATTCTAAAGGAACTTTAGAGGATGTATTTTACTTCAGAAAGAAGCAAAATGACTGTAAAAGGAGAAAACTAACAAAAAAAGTATAAACACATATGGGTAAATCTAACAGATACTTACGTATAAGATAATGATGCAATTAAGAAGAAAAATGTCAATTCCCTAGAATTGATGATAAAAAAAGGAGAAAATAGCATAAAATAGCTTATAAGGGGAGGGGGTAGGTGACCAAAGTTAAAGTATCTGTTCAGGTCCTTGAATGATTTCAGGAGCCTGGGTTAGGACTTTGCTAAGGATGCGTTGTAAAATTTCAAGGTAACATGTATAAGAAAGGAAAGAAGTATAACTTAAAATCCAGTAGAAGGAAATAATGCAGGAAGAAAAAACAAACAAAAAGCAAGAGAAGAAACAAAAGAAGCACAGATAAAGCAGAGTGAGCAGAAATAAAAAAGAAGTCCAAATATTCCAGTATTATCAATAAATGTGAAAGGACTTAAAAATGTCAGTTGAGAGAGATTGTCAGCCTGGATAAGAAAAGAAAATCTAGGCATATGCTGTTTACGAGAGACTCATCTAAAACATAAGGACAGAGTGAGTTTAAAAGCTAAGGGATAGGAAATGATAACATAAATGTTGAGCTGAAGTAGCTGCAATAAAATCAAACAAAACAGACTCACTCTATGATAGAAAACCCACAAGCAACAGAGGGTCAGCTGCATCACGTGGGGAGATCCAGTTCCCTGCGAGGTAACATTTTAAAGCCGTATGGACCTAGTAGTCTCAAAGGCATACGCATACATGGATTAAGGGCACAGGAGAGTGAATTACACTAGCTTTTCCGTTACGGAAAGGTGACGCAGACAGGAGTGGGTGGGGAATGAGACGGAGGCGGTCAGTGTGGACACGGCTCCTGAGCAGTTTTGCTGAGGAGGAGAGACAAGGCTGGAGGAGGCTGAGAAGGGACGGTGCTGGAGCGTGTGTCTATGTGCCGACAGGAGTGGGCTTGCCGAGGAGGGCAGTCTGGGCATGCCGTGGGCACGTCCTTGGCGAGAGGGCAGCCTGCAGAACGCTGGGCTCAGAGGGAGGCCGGGGCCATGGTGGGCGCCTGGGCACGCAGCCTGACCCCGTGTCCTCTGCCCTAGCCCCTCCAGTGCCTCTCACAGCGCCTGAGGGTCTGAGCCTGCCTCTGAATGGGTCCTCGTGTTCAGAGTGAGAGCGGGGTAAGATGCCCGCAGATCCTGGGGCTCCCTCTGCGGGCCACCCACCCCATCTCAGCCAGCCCTGGCATGGGGGTCACGGGGCCAGAGCTGGCAGGCTCCTCCAGACCTTCCCCTCCCCTGCCCTGGGGCAGTGGGCTCAGGCTGGTCTGGGCGCAGCGGTCCTGGGGGCCTGCAGGCTGCTCTCAGCGGCGGTAGGCTGAGAGTGTGGATCCCCACAGTGTGGATGGCCCGGGGCTGGCATAAGCTCAGCAGACGCCCCTCACCTGGCTGGTGATGTCTGAAGGCATGGGCGAGGGGGGCTTGGAGTAGGTGGCGTCCTGGGAGACGAAGCCGGAGTCGTGGGAGGAGACGCTGGAGAGGCGGGTGGCGGGGGTGGGCTGCGCCAGGCTGCGGTAGCGACAGGCGGGGCCGGGTGAGCACGTTTGGGTGCCCCCGGGCCAGGGGGCGCCGCCACCCTTGGCGCTGCTGCCGCTGCTGGGGGCGCTGGGGAAGGAGGGGCACGGCGGCCAGACAGGGAGACACAGGGCGCATGTGGGAGGGCAACATACGAGGGTGGGCAGAGAGGCGGGCAGGGGGAGGAAAAGACAGGGTCAGACCAGGCCCTGAGACCATGGGCCAGAGCAGCGGGGTCCCAGACTGCGGGCAGGGGGGCGGGGCCGCCCGCTGCCCCAGGAGCCTCTGCCAGGCACCCTGAGGCAGGGCAGCCCATTGGAGACCTCAGGCTGATGAGGCGGAGACCGAGTCACCATGCGTCAACACTTCCCAGTCAGGCCACAACCAGACATGAGTCAGGTCCTGCCTGTCTCCTCAAAGTCTGGTACTTGCCACCAGATCCTGACCGAACGTCTGGAGTGGGGCGCTGGTCCTACACTCACCACCACCCTCCCCTTTTTCACCTCTGCAGCTCATCCTCTCTGTATCTGTGTCCAGGCTGGGCAACGCTCCTGGCAGTGAAGGTCACCATCCTCCTGAGTGCGACCCGGGAGGCCCTGGCCTCCACCCTTGGCCACGGGTGACCCCTGGGATCAACCTCCCTCCTGCGTCAGTCACCCACCCGGGCTCTGAAGAGCCTCCAGCTGCCGTGGACCCTTCTCTCCCTGCAGGAGCAGCAACTGCTCTCTCTGGGTCACCGCCCACAGCCTGGGTGCCCAGCCAAGGTGGTTCTAGAGAAAGTGTGACTGGCACAGAGGAGTCTCCCCACCAGTAACCTGCTCTGTGCTCAAAGACCGACCCCCGCCCAGGGAGCCTTGAATCCAGACCCCTCCCAGGAAGCACCCCGACCTCAAGCCTGCCTGCTGGTCAGGCAGGACCCCGGCCCTGCCCTGGCCCTGCACGGCCCCCGGGGCTAGCTTGGGCTGAGGGTTGGCCCTGTGGCAGCTGCCCACAGGGACCAGCCAGGCCGCAGTGTCCACAGGTAAGCTTGGAGCCTCCGCACATGCCTTCCCCATCTTAGATTCTTACTGCCGCCCAGGCTGTGCTGGGCCCGGCTGAGCTGAGGGGTTAATGCTGGCATTCTGTACTTCAGCTTCCCCCTCCATGAAATGGAGACAATACCATACCTGATGGAGTGGTGTTAGGATTCAATGAAGAAAATGCAAAAAGCATTTGACAGGGCAGCTGTTGCATCCTTTCCTGCTGCCGCCACCCTGCACCCTGTCCCCTACGCCTGCACTAGCAGCAGTCTTGCAATGTGAGTGTGTTTTCCCTGTGCCTGCAGATTCCTTGACGATGCAGCAGTTGCATGGATTCTGGGGCCACAAAGCGATTCCTGACGGACTTCTGGGGGACCTTCCCCATTTCTTTTCCCTGCCCCCACCCAGTCCCCTGCTGACCTGCACATGCTGGACTTCCGGGAGCTGGAGCTGCTAGGCGATGAGGGTGGGGTCTGGTACGACCAGCTGTAGTCTGAGCCCTTCAGGTCTGTGATCACCTGGACAGGGACGTGGATGGGGTCGCTTGGGGCAGCCCGGCCCCCGCAGAAAGCCTCCGCACTTCCCTGAGTCTTCCTCCAGAGGGCTGGCAGGGCCTTCCCGATTGAGAACCAGGCCCCAGAGGAGATCTTGGGGATTCAGAAGCCCTCCACATTCCAGCCTTTTCCTAAAGCCAGCTCCTCACTCAGGGCCAAGAGACAGGGCTGCCAGAGAGGGGGGGGATGCCAGGGAGGTTGTGCCCTCTCTGCTTCTCAGGGATGCTGGCCCAGCCAGGACATGGGGGAACCTGGTGCTCCCGAGGACTCCCTGGGCTGGCGGAGGAGTCGGCCCAGAGTGGCCGTGCAAGACCATGGGGTCCAACCCTGGCTCTGCTCTGCCCCCAGGCGAGCTGCTGGTCCTCTCTGAGCCTCAGTTTTCCCTTGGGAAATGCAGCTGATCCTTCCTGTCTTAGAGGCCGTGGAGGGGACTGAATTAGGTGACCCATGGGAAGGGCTCGGCGTGGGGCTGGGCACACAGTAAGCGCCAAGAGGAGCACCACAGTGCTGTCAGCGAGGACTGCCCCTGGTGCAGCGGGAGCCTGGTGCTGAGAGGTGGGCAGAGTGGCCACGGGGGCAGCTTCACGTGTGTGCGGGGGCTGGCAGGTGTGGGCATGGAGGCCGAAGGCACCATCAGGACTGGCTTGCTCGGAGCCTGGCCCTGCGGATCCGGCCAGGACGTGCGGCCGTCTGCTCTCAGTGTGAGGCCCCACCGGGTCCCGGGCACACCCTGCTTGTGTGGGCAGGTGCCCCTAGAACCCACGGGGGTGGCCTTCTGTGCCCAGCTGCTTCCCCCACACGCTTTCCCATTGCCTCCTCCACTGTCCCTAGCCAAGGCGGGCTGTCCCTGGGGCTGGCCGCACCTGTTCGCTGGCGGGGGGCAGCTTGTGCGGCTCCGCGGTCAGCACCACCAGGTCGTCGATGATGCCCTGCAGGTGGGTGATCTCCCCCAGCATGGTCAGCTCGCCGTTCTGACAGAGCAGTGAGTCAGCCTCCCGGCCCTCCCCACCCAGCCACCCCTCCCTCACCCTTCCCCCCTGGCCCACACGGCTCGGGTGATGGTCCTTGGGACCTCTTGGGATTCGTGAGGGCCCCTCAACTGGCCCCATCGTGGAGATGCTGAGAAGGGCTCCGTGTCCCCGCGGGACCCACCACCACGGGCTGCAAGAACGTGATGAAGGTGCAGAAGCGGCCGCGCTCCTCAATTAGGGCCCGGCGCACCGCCTGCTTCTCCGTCTCCTCCAGCAGCAGGTACATGTCGTTCACGTCCTGCAGGGCGCTGTCCAGCTGGGGCTGCAGGTCTCCTTTCCCTGGGGGGTGGGGATGAGAGGCCGCGCTGGGGACGCGGGCCGGCCCACTGCACCCCAGGCTCAGGCCCCCAGTGGGATCCCTGGCCGTGAGGCTGGGCACTTCCAGGGGGCCCAGGGACCGGGGAGGGCAGCCAGGACGCCGGGGCTCGTGGAAAGGCTGGTCCCCAGTGCAGGCAGAGAGGACAGACAGGCACACAGGAAAGACACCAAAGCTGCAAAGCCACCCAGGTCCTGGGGCAAGCAGAACCCTGGGCAGCCCCGGGGCCACCCGGAGCAGCTGTGCTCAGGGCAGTGGGGCGGAGACCTCCAGGAGAGCAGAAGCTTCTGTCCCCGGACACGGACATTGTCACTGCCTGTGGGGTGAGGTGCCTCCCCTCCCCGGCCCAGGGAGGGAGCGTGGAAGCGGAACAGAGTAGAGCATGGGGCGGGGCTGTGGGTTGGGCCCAGGGCGTGGGAAAGGGGGTGTCTCATGGGGGTCCCCACTCTGCTCAGGAAAGATGCACAACAGCAGCAGGAGCGACACAAAGCAGCAGCGAAAGAACCACGGAGAGCGACAAGAGACAGGCGTGGGGGGCGGGGCAGAGCAGGGGGTAAGGGCCCTGGGGGGCCCGGACCCCACCCTGCCACCCAAGCGCTCCTGGCCTGGCAAGCCGACCCCGCACAGCCCCGGCCTCGGCCCCAGCCCCTCCCTCGCTGACCGACCACCTTCCTCGCTCCTCCTTGGCCTGAAGAGGCTCCTCCAATGGCCCTGAGCCGGGGGAGACAGACAGAGCGACAGGGAGACAGGGAGGGTGAGCAGCTGGGGACGGGCATCTGACTTACCAAGCAGCTCTACAGGAGGGTGGGGGGAGGAGAGGAGAGACAGAGAGAGACCGTGTGAAAGAGCCGGAAGGATAGAGCCGCTCCCGGGGGCGGGGCCTCCCGAGCAGGGGGTCCAGTCCGAGGCGGCAGGCACCCCCTCTGCCCACCCCAGAGGCGTCCAGCACGGGGGGGCCTCAGGTCGGACGCTGCCCTGGGCATGGCGGGGCTGTGCAGGGGCCCGCGGGGCTGCGCCGCTGCGGCCGCTCGGGGCTCACCTTTGCGTGCTTTCTTCTGCAGCTTCAGCGTGTCCGAAGACTTCTTCTTGATCTCGTGCCGCGCTCGTTTGTACTCTGTTCAGAGGGCGAGAGAGCGGCGCTATGACCAGGTTTCTGCCAGTGGGGAGCTGGAGGGCGCGGCCGGGCCCGGACCTACCTTTTGCGTGATCCTTGTCCAGCTGGTTGGCCGACTTCTTCCAGTCCTCGATGCGCTCCTGCAGCGGGTTGATGAGGCTCTCCAGCAGCGCGCTGTGGGCGACGGAGGGCGGGTCAGGGCCGCCCCGGGGTCTTCCCGCGACCCCCGCCCCCGGCGCGCACGCACTCACTTGGTGAACTGCCGCAGCTTGGTTTCGATGCTGCGGTGGCGCATGCACATGCGCGTGAGCGCCGAGCCGATGTCCCGCGTGGCCCCTGGGGGCAAGCGCCGCGTGGGCGGGGCGGCCGGGCTCCTGCAGGCCCAGCCCGGGCCACGCGGGGGCGCGTCCGGCCCGCGAGCCGAGCCTGCAGCCTGCCGGCCCTGAAGTCCCCAGCCCGCCATCCCGCCGCCCGCACAGCTCCCGGCATCCCCATCCGGCCGCCCAGCCGTGCCCCGTTCTGCGACCTCGCCGCCCCGGTAGGAGAGCTGACCTTTCTCTCTAAGCAGTCAGGCCAAGAGCTGTCCCCGAACCCCAGACGGGAGAGGCCCAGACCAAAGACGGTTCAAGGAGCCAACAAAACCCCTCCCTCCCTCCCAGGATCCCCTCCAGATGTGCCCAGATGCAGGCATGAGGGTGCCAGCAGCTGCCCGTCACCTCGGTGTCACCAGCCAAGGAGGCAGGGGCCCCGGGTCCCCACTGCTCGGACCAGAAGGTCGCGGAGCCGCCAAGGCCAGCAAGGGAATCTTCCCCTGCCCCGTGTGCGCCCCGAAGGGCAGACAGGGAGAGAGCCAGACTCACCTACAGAGTGTGAGCCCTGGCTGAGGGGCCGACCCAGCCACCCGGCAGCAAGACAGCCCCCCCCCCGCCCCCAACATCCCTGTTGTCTGTCACCGGCTCCTGCTTGGTGACGCGAGGCTCACTCTCCAGAGAGCCCGCTCCAAGAGCGAGCAGGACCCAAGGTCCCGACTCTGGGCCCGGGTCCTCTCGGGCTCACACCCACTCCGCCGTTCTGCGTGCAAGCCCAACCTGCAGCCGCGTGCCCTCCCCACCTCGGGTGTTGGTGGCCATGTCGGCCACTTTCTGGAAGGCGTCCAGGAAGGCCACAGCAGCCAGCACGGTGGTCCTGGGGAGACGGGCGGGGGGCGGTCAGTGGAGGGTGGCCTCACGCCCTGACCTCTCCCCAGCTGGGGCACCCTCACCTCAGCTGGGAATGCAGCTTCGTGGCCTTGGAGTTGAAGTCCTCCCAGATGGGGTAGGAGCTCTGCGGAGGAGACGGGAGAGGCAGTGAGCCGCCACGAGGGGCCCCCTGGGCCGGGCCCCCTCGTGCCCAGTCTAGACCCCGGGCCGTGTCTGAGAAAGCAGCCTTGCCCCTGTGGAGAGGGGGCTTCCGGGGCTCCTCTGGGGGCAGACACAGGCATGAAGAAGGCCTGGCCCCAGAAACAGGCACCTCTGCCCGCCCTGTGCTCCCAAACGCTCAGGAACCCCAGCCACTGTGAGCGGTGGTGTCCCACATCCTCAAGGGGTGAGAGGCAGGCTGCGTCTCCTTGCAGGTGGGAGGTCCTGGGGGGACTGGGCGGGCCACACGAGGGGCACTGTGTCCCCGGACAGAGCCCTGGACGGTCCACGTGGTCTGAGGGCAGAGGCACCGCGAGCCATGCTGGGTCTGAATGAGGGCCCCGTGCCCCGGAAGCGGCTGCCAGCCTGACCCGCCCATCGCAGGCCCCGGGGGACCACGGCTGCTTCGGGGCCTGGCCAGCCTGCCCAGGACCGTCAGGCCCAGGCTGAATGGGGCCTTGTGCAGCCAACACAGCCACCTTTCTCCACCCCCGGCTCCCGCCCCTCCTGGGGACACAGTGTGGCCTTTATCCCAGCCTGGCTCAAAGCTCTGAGCTGGGAGGGGGTTTCCCAGTAGAGAGGCTGGGCTCCTGATGATCAAGTTGTCCAGTGTGGTCAGCGGGCTTTTCTGGCTAATGGGCCTCCCATGGCTGTTGGGTCCCGGCCCAATGGCCCTGTGGAAGGAAGCCTTGATCCTTGAAGAAGAGCCTCAGGTCAGCAAGGCCCCAAGGTTCTTCTGACCTTCCCTTCCATGTGGGATGGGGTGCTGGAAGCCGGGGCTTTTCCAGTGGGAAGGGGGAAGGCGGAGACCCCAGCGCCCAAGGCCTCAGGGGGGAGGCTCTGCCAGGCTGGAACCCCAGGGAGGCCAGCCTGCTGGAGTGGGAAGGACAGGGCAGCTTCTGGGAGCCTCAGAAACACCCTCCCCTCCTAGCCCAGCCCAGCCAGTGCCCAGGGAAAGCAAATATTTGAGAGGTTCACAGGCTGGGGCGGGAAGGCGGAGGCTGTGGGTGGGCCGTCGGTGCGGCACAGCCTAGGGTGAAGGAGCCTGGGTCTCCCCTGGCTCTCCTGAGGACTTGGCACCATCCTGCTCAGTGCCCCCAGCCTGAGGCTGAGCTGAGACCCTGGGGGGAGACAAGGCCGTGGGGGCAGGAGTGCAGAGGCAGCGGTCCTGGGACGGCGTCTCAGCCCCTCGGCAGCCTCTATCTGAGAGCCAGGGGCTGGGAGAAGCGGGGGAGACAGGACCCCACTGAAGTCGCACCCTCACAGCCCCCAGGCCCACTCCATCCCTGGCCCTCCCAATCTCGGTCCTCCTGGGGCAGAGGGGACAGGGTGGGGGTCGGGGGCCAGGCCCAGCCCCTCCTCAGCAGGTGGACAGGAGCTCCTGGCCTCTAAGGGCCCACTGGGAAGTCATGATGAGCCCAGAGGTGAGCTCGAGGGGCCGGCGCCCAGGAGCGTCCCCTCACACAGGCTGCGCCCATCTGTCAGGCAGGCTGGAAGCCTTGGGGCTCATGGTCTGGATGGTGACAGGGACTGTGACTGGGGTCAAGAGTGTGGTGGGCCAGGTGCCTGGCCGAGCCCTCTTACTGTGGGGTCACACGGAGTCCTTACAGCAACGCTTTGAGGTGAATACCGCTGTCATCACCCCCATTCTACAGATGAGGAAACTGAGGCTCAGAGAGAGTAACTGGCTTGTTTACGGCTACCGAGTGTGGGGGTCAGGCTCTGACTGGTCTGACTGGTCACTGCATGGCAGGAACACCCCCTTTACTTCAGGGTCTGGAAGGTGAGTATCTGGGTACCCAGGGTGGGGAGGGGTGGGGGCCCCAGTACTGGGAGAGGAGCGGGCGGCTCTGGGGGGGCAGTCACACGCTCGTCAAGGGGGTGCTCTGGTGGGCAGGCCCCGGGCTGTACAGGTGAGCAGCCCAGACTGCACCCCGGGAGAGGGGCTCTGCGGAGGCTCCTCTCTGCGCCTGTTTGCTCCCCTGGGAGATGAGCGCGGGAGCGGGATGGTGTGAAGGCCGCCTGGGAAGCACCGGCTCAGGGCCCAGCACAGACAGCACTTGGCTGACGCTGCGGACAGAGTGGACATGCAGTCTCTGCCTCTGCCACCCGGCTGGGACCTGCGTGACACTGCCCACTCTTGGGGGCAGGCAGGTTGTGACCCCGTTTCCGGAAGGTGCAGGCTGAGCCCTGGAGCTGCACCCAGCCCTGTCATCCCGGGCAAGTCCCTGCCCCTCTCTGAGCTTCGGGGGCATCTGGGCTGCTTAAATGAGGTGGAGCAGGCAGGGAATGCTCCCGGGGCCCCTCCGCCCTGAGCCGTGCTCCCCAGACCGCAGGTGCAGCCCCCCTCCCCTCTTCGGCCACCCCCCCATGCCAGGCTCTGGGCCTGCAGCCCTGGGTGGGCTCTCGCGAGGCCTGGCAGGCAAGTTCTGTTTCCTCACCCTGGCCACCTCCCTCTGTGGAAACCCCGCTGCTTCTGTGGCTCAAGCCGCTGAGCGAAACAGCGGAAGCTATCCCCCAAATCCAGAGCCCACGGCCCTGCCCTGTCCCTGGCCCAGACACCAGCCTGTGTCACAGGCGGGGGACTAGCGGGGCTCGGCATCCCGCCAGGTGAGGCCTCTCCGAGTTTGCCTCCCCACATCAGAAAATCCTGAGCTGCTTGTTACAGTCTGGGCCCATCTCCTTTGGTCTCATCCTCAAGTTCCTCGCAAATTGCCTGGAGGCGGGGAGACGGTCCTGATCGCTTCTCTGCGCGAAAGGGGCTGCTCTCCGCAGCGTGTGTGGTAAGGATGCCAGCAGGACAAGGTGCGGGAAGGTGCCCCTCCGCCAGCCCTGGGAGTGGCCGGGGAGGGTGGTCTGGAACGGAAGCCTGCTGCCAAGGCTGTGACGCTCAGAGGGCAGCAGGGGCTGCTGAAGGCGCCGGGGCCAGCAGAAGGCTTGGAGGTGGAGCTGGGGGGACGGGGTCTCAGGGGAGCACCCTGTGTGTGGCACCGCTGCCAACCCTGCAGTTCTGGGGGAGGGTGGCCCCAGGTCTCCTGGGTGTGGGGGGCACCGGGATCTGGCAGCCCCCCTGAAGGCCTGCCTGGGCACTGTGGTGTGTCCTCCCGGGGCCTGCGATGTCACGGTAGGATGCCAGGCTGTGTACTGGGGAGGGTGACAGGCGGGGGGCTCTGAGGAGTTCCCCGTTCCCTCCTGCCCGGCCACCCCGCCCTAGAGCAGAAGGGGAGAGGCGCGGCCTGCTGGGCCCCCGCCTGTCATTGCGGCTGGCCCTCCTCTCTGCCCAGTCAGCTGGGCCACTCTGCCAAGCCCCAGCCTCTTTGGGGGCGAGGACCCCCTCGCTCCCCGGATCAACAGTGACGGGTGAGGTCACGGGCTGTCCAACAGTCTCCTTAGTGACCTTGAGCCATTCCCAGCCTCGGTTTCCCCACCTGGTGAGCCAGTGTGGGCCAGGAGGTGGTGGCCCGCTGCAGCCTGACCTTGGGCCATCCGGGAGAGGGGCTGGAGTTGAGAGCCTGGAGCAGCAGCAGCCCTCCCCTGGGGCTGCTCCCTCAGCCCCCACCTTCTCCCTCCTCCCCCCAAGGTTGGTCAGAGGCCTTGGGGCCTGGGGCACTCATCGAGCAGACCGTGGAGTCCAGGAGCTTGTTTGGGACGCGGGCGGCAGGCGCAGAGGCGAGGCTGGCAGGGAAGGAGTTAACGGTTCCCTGCTTTATTATTTTTCGCTGCTTTGGCGGTGACAGCATTGTCTGGGCTCCGGGGCCGTCGGGGGCGGGGAAGTGGGGCACGAGGGTGGTAGAGGGCGGAGGCCGGAGAGACCCTGGACCCTTTAAAGGGGCGTGAGTCGCCCCCGGAGACAACCCCCATTCATGGTTTGGGGGTCTGGGGCGCGGGAAGCCCGCGTGTGCGCAGGCTCAGGTCGCGACCCCAAGGGGGCGCTGCGACCTGGGCGACCAGGGGCACGGACCCCGGGTATCGCACGGACACCCAGACACACGAGCGCCCACACCCCCCACGACGGGCGCCCGGAGAGCAGGGCGCACGGCAGACGCAGGCCAGAAGCGCTCAGACAAGGGCACACAGATGCGGGGCCGCTCCGACACGCCGGGACGCAGCTGCCCGCCGCCACGCGTCCCCAAAGGGGACACGCACCCGCGCCGCATCCGCGCCCGTTACCTTCATGTCGTTGACGATGGCCTGGAAGAGCCCGCCCAGGGCGCCGCACTCCTTCTCCGCCGTCTCCATGCTCGGGCCGGGCGGCGGCGCAGGCAGGGCGCTGGGACCCGCGCCGCGGCGGCTGTCGCTCCGAGGCCGGGCCTCGTGGGCGCGGGGGGCGGGCCGCGGGGAGGGGTCTGCGGGGAGGCCGGGCGGGCGCCGGCCCATTCACCGCCCGGAGCCCGGGCTTTGAAATCCGAGCCCGGGCGCGGCCAAACGGGCAGTCCGAGCAGGCCCGGCGGGCGCAGGCGCCGCCGCGATCCGGGGGCGGCGCTGCCTGGCTTCCCCGCGGGGGTGGGGCCGGCGGTTGGATGCAGCCCCGGGAAGGGGCTCACCACCAGCCTCCAGCCTTTGGTCTAGGGTCGGGGGTGTGTGTCTCCCCGCGCTTTCGGAAGAGGGGAGCAAGTTGAGGTCCTGGGGCGCATCCCGTGGGATGGATACACCACACTTATCAGGGGCGTACGGTGTCCCGGAGGCCGCCCGCCTTGGGACATTTTATCCCAGGGACAGGAGTTTGGACCCTCCTCCAGAAGTTCTCTGGCTCCTTTTCCAAGTAGGGCCCGTGCTGATGCCACCTGCGTGGGGTGCCCCAGGCCGGGCCTCTGGGGATGGTGGGCTCCAACCCTCAGGGTTTGGGGCCGTGGGACCAGCAGAACAGAGGCGAGCCCTCCTCCCCTCTCTGATGCCTGGTTACACACGTAGGATGCGCATGTGTGTGCACGTGGGCCATAATGAATTCTGCCTGTCTTCCTGTCCTTGAGACTCCAGGGAGGGAAACCCACCCTCGGGGGCCTATGCTGGGTCTCCGGGGAAAAGCCCACCCAAGGCCTTTCTCTCCTACTCCAGGGACCCACAAGAGCCACCTGGGAGATCAGTGGGCCTATCTGAGGCTTCCCAAAGCCTGGGGGCATGAGAATAGGTCTTTAGGAATGGCAGCAAGGTCCCAGGGCAGCTGAGCATCAGCAGGGCGGGCACCCGTGGGAAGGAGCAGGCCAGGCGTGGGTGGAGAGTTTTCTGTCACTTCTTTATTGGGGCAGGGGTGCGTCCTTCATACGAATCTCTGTGCTGGTCCCTATGTGCACACAGACGCATATACATGTATGTACACACATCTGCACGAGGTCAGAGCTCTGGTGGGCTTGGGGGGGTGTCAAGCTCTTTATAAGAGCATTAGAAAGAACCTGATTCCAGAAAACGGGGATGTCTGAGGTTGCGGCCCCACGCTGGTGGGAAGCCATCTCTGTCTGATCCCAAGTGCAGATGGCTGTGCTGGGGGCCCCGGGCTGGGCTGTGAGAGCAGCACGGTAGTCACTGCCTCCAGCCCACCACCCTGCCCCTGAGGCAGAGCCCTGGGCGCCGCGGGGAGGAGGCCTGCAGAGCCCCAGTGCTCACAGCCCACTCCGAGGGCCGGTCTCCGCGCCAGGGTGTCAGAGGAGCGCCCTCCGGTCCGGGTGGTCCCCGCGCCCGCTCCGCTGGTGTCTCACGTCCAGGTGCTGCTTCTGGACCCGCTCGAAGTGCTGCAGCAGCTCCGCGTAGTCAATGCCCGGGGAATCTGCTTTCTGCGACCTGGGTGCTGCCTTCACACCGTCTCTGTGCAAGGGGGCAGAGGGGCTCAGCGTCAAGGCTTGAGTGCAAGTGGGGGTTGCTGGAGGGGGAAGCACCGGCCACAGCCTGGTAGAGCCCAACCTCGGGACACGTGTCCCTCAGGCCCAACAAACCCCCAACTGTTGGCCCCAAAGAGGGGAGCGCTCTGGAGTACCCCCTCCCCCACAGCTGGCGGGACTAGTCAACACTGCCGCTCGGATAAGGCCCTCAGCCTGTGGGCTGGCAACGTCGCCCAGAGCAGGCATCACATTGGGAAGCATTTCCTGTTTATGAGTGGCTCCCTTTGGGGTGAAAGCCAGGGCCAGCAGCCAGCCAGGAAGCCAGCTGGGGCCTGGAACAGGGTCCAGGGAGACGGGGGAGGGGCAGGGCTGAGGCCGGGGACCACAGGGATGGCCGAGGTCTACTGGCCCTCCACTTGGCAGGACATCTGTTTTTGAGCTCTGGGCCCCAGAGGCCCGCAGTCACTCTCTGTGCCTGGGGAAGGAGAGCTGGTCTCACCACGGGGCAGCTGGCGCCTCTGAGAACTCCTCTTGTGAGTGCCCTCTCAGCTGCCCTGCCCTGGAGCACGGGCGCTGCACTGCGCAGCTGCAACACCAGAGGCGACGGGAGGAAGCTCTCTGTGTTCAGTCCCAGCCTAGGTGCCCAGCGGGTGGCCACTGCAGCCACAGCCATGTCCCTTTGAGTCCGCTTGGGGCAGTCACAGCAGTGCTTCATTCAAATGGAACCCTCACCGATGAACCTGGCTCCTGGTGGGGCGCAGCCCACCGATGGTCAGAGCCCGGAAGGCGCCTCTGAGAAAACACCAGGACCAGGGGCAGCGGGAACTCTTCCCGTGGTTGGGATGCCATCCGGAGCAGCCCGGACCCCTACTCAGCCTGTTCCCTCCCTGACAAAGACACATGGCCTGAAAACACCTTGGACTGTGGCTGTGGCTGCTTCTTTCCTGGGCCCACTGGCCCAAAGACACTCTGCTTAGCTGATCAGCCCACAGTCGTCATGAGAGCCCTTCACCAGGGTCTCCAGGCTTCAGAGTGCAGAAGCGGATCCTTCCCAGACCACATGGATCTGCCTCCAGTGAGGCCAAAATGAGGGAGAAGGGTCTTTGAGGGGCTCTCTGCTGGGGTGAACTATTAGTTCCGCCCAGAGCTGGGCCTCTGGAAACACTGGTTCAGCAAAGCTCATAAGGAGCTGAGCTGGGTTCGCTCTCGGGGGCCAGACTGCGGTTTTCCGCTCCCCTGGGAAAGCAGAAGGGACATCCCTGGCATAGTATTCCCAGGGCCCGGGTGTCGTTGCCACAAGGGAGCAGCTCCCCCTTCCGAGGAGGCTGAGGCACACCCTGGAGCCCTGACCCCAGGGGGTGACCAGATGCCACCCACCCGTGTAGACGGAAGAGGGGGAGACGGGCAGGCCAGAGATGCTGCTGAAGTGTGTCGTCTGAGGCCGGCACCCACTGGCCGTGTGCTCCTCCCCCCAGCACTCTTTCTCGCCCCACTGCCACCCCTGCCAGTCCAGGGTGCGGCCACGGCTCAGCCCTTCCTGCTCCCTGTACGTTTGTGGCCCTCAGGCTGCAAGTGACTGAGGGACACCTGGCCAGCAGCGCAGGGCTGGGATTCCAGAACCCAAGGCCAGCCCTCGCTCTTGCCACCATGCACCTGTCCCCGGTTCCTGGCTGGTGAATGTCACCAGCTTCTGCTTCAGAGGCTCCCTCTTGCCTCACAAAGGAGACAATGGCCCAGAAGCCTAACTGGTGGCCAGGGTCGCCGAGCCCTCAGCCCACAGCGGGGTGCGGGGGCCTGGAGCTGCCAGGGTGACCCTGACACCCTAACACCCCTCAGGCACTGGCGAGGCCAGGCCAATGAAGCACCGTAGAGGCCCGGGGCCTTCGAGTCCCAGTGGCCAGAGGTGCTCCGGCTGAGGGAGTAAAACCCACACCTAACCCCGCGGCTGCCCCGCCCCCCAGGGCACCCCGAGCGCTGAGTGCCGCCTCCTGAGGGTCACCCAGCAGTGTCAGGAGCAGCTGGGATGGTGTCTAGCCCTGCCTGCCGCTGTCCGGGGAGGGGGGCACGGTGTGCAGGAACTGGGCTTTGGTCTGCGCAGGCAGACAGCCCACTGGGGGCTGTACGTCCAGCCCCGGTCAGGTTGGGGGGTGGTGCCCCAGGCCCTGCAGGACAGAGGGCACAGGGGCATCTCAAGGCTGCCTGCGCCCACCGCAAGGGCAAAGGCCTGAGGCCTTTTGCGGGAGTGAGGCGCCTGGCCTGCCGAGGGGCTCACGCAGCCTGGGAGGGAATTCTAGATGCACAGGGCATCTGGTGCAAGCTGGGTGCGCTCCATTCAGCGTAAATCTTCTCAGTGGCTCTGCTTGTTTCCATGGCGACCTGACAAGTGAAATTTTCCATCTCGGATGCCAAATGCCTGTGGATGAGGCAAAGCCTCCAAGGGTTACCAAATATAGACATGACCCAACAGGCTCGGGGGCTGGGCCAGCCGTGGGCTCAGGGTGGGAGTCTGGACGCCCCCGGAGGCTGGTGTGGGGGCCTCTCCGGGCAGCCAGCCTGGGGCCTGTTCTGCCTGTGGACAGGTCGAGAGCAGGGTGGCCCTGTGTGCACCCTTGCTTCTCACCCCACTCGGGGGCAGGAAGGGTCCGAGGCGTCCCGAGGCAGGCCGTGGCCCAGGGCTGTCTTTCTGCTGCACGTGGTGGGGGCTGTCTGAACCTGGGAGGGACCCCCTGCAGCTCTTTCACCATGTGCTCCAGGCGACAGTCTCCGAAACGGGGCACGAATTCCTCCCTCTGCACTTTTTGTTTGGGTCACTCCAGCACGCGCTCAAATTTTTTGACAAACTCAACCCAACTACGTACAACCTTCTAAACAGGGCCAGGTCTCCCAGCCAGGGGCTCTGATGTGGAAACGGGAGGCCTACAGCAAGTGGCAGTGAGGCGAACAGTGCGCACAGTGACAGGAGGTGTGAGGCGGAGGTCAGGGAGGCCCAGGCCACCCCTTGCGTGCCCCGACGCGCCAGGCCCCGTCCCTGAGCCGGGCACTCACTCGGTCTGCAGCAGCTCGGGGTTGGGGACGCACTGCAGCCGGTGCGACAGCAGCTGGAAGGCGCTGCTCTGCGGCAGCAGCATGAGCAGGCCATACAGGGCCTTGATCAGGTACGGGTTGCTCTTCACGTCCAGCAACTGCAGGCGCAGGTCTGCGGGAGGGCGGAGGCGGGGGTCAGACGGCTCTGGCCAGGGGGGCCAGCCCAGTGGCTGGGCTCCTCGCACGCCTGCCCCCGCTCCAGCGGTGTCTGAGCCATCCCTGTGATCACGAGATCAGCCTTTCCCTGCCTGCTATCCAACCTTCCCGACAGTTGCCTCAGTCTGACGACCCCCCACACGCCCACTGCTCCCTGGCACTGAGGGGCCTGGGCTGGAGCGCAACGGACCCCCGGGCCCGCTCCACACGTGCGGCATAGAGTGCTGTAAACAGGTGAGCCAGAGAGAGGCTGGGCTGGGGTGGCTTTGAGGAAGGATAGGCTGGGGAAGCACTTTGGTGTGTGTCTGAACACAGCGAGCCCAGCAGTGTCTGGGGGACGCCTCTGGACATCCGCAGCAGATACCGGCCCTGCCCACACCGTGCCAGACGGGAGGGGCGCAGCCGGGCCCTGCCCAGCACGGTCCCAACTAGACGGGACCAGCGGCTCTCCTGAGCCCTTCCAGGGACTCACTCGCTTATTTCTGGTGTCTAAGGCCCAGTCTCGAGGATCCTCGGTGGAGGACAAGCCTCATAACCCTGAAGACCACGCTGCCCGGCAGCTCCGCACGGGCCTTGGGGCCAGGCTGTGGCAGGACATGGGGGTCTTGTGCAGCAGCACCCCAGGCCCAGCAGCGCCGGCTCCAAACCCCGTCCCTGCTCTGGCCCTGGGCAGAGCAGTCACCACGGGGCTCGAGGCTGCCGAGGGTGGGAACGGGCCTAGGCAGGGCCAGCTGTGGACCACTCTGCTGCGGTCCCTGCATGAAAGCGCTGGGCCTGGAGAGGTGTTCGCGGCTTCTCTAGGGTTAAGCTGGACCTGCCATCAGGGGAGCACAGGCCAGACTGCTCCGGGAGGCCTCTGAGAAAGTGAAATGTCAGTGTAGGGGCTGTCTGGGGTATGCTCTGATGCTCTCCGCTGGAACAGGGTCTCCCTCCTGCTCGTGTGTCTGTCACCGAGACGGCGGCTGTGTAGAGAAGCTGCCTTCTGTTTGGATGGGGGGGG